GGTGTTGCAAACAAGTTTTGGATCGACAGCTCTTTCAAAGCCTGTCCATTGGAGAATCAGTGCTATGATTTGATGTTTTGTCAATGGGTTAGATGCTACAAATCACAATAAACGTAACTTGAGTGTCTTTTATAGAGTATTTTATAATAAGTATTATATAAATGACTAGACAGATCTTCCACGGAAGCACACGAACGGTTTCGTGGTTCTTGCCACTGGTCAGGCATGCGTAACCGTGAATCTCTTGTGAGTTCATTCATATACTCGTCCAGTCATTCATATACCCCGACTCCTGTGAGATTCGATGCATAACCCATGAATCGCCTTGATGGCATTTTGTAATTCGAGCAAACTTGTTCACAATCCAGAAAGCTTCCAGACCGAACGAATTATCGGCAGCCAGAAACACTTCTACCAGACAGTTTGACTATACACATTTTTCTGTTGACTCCACACGGTCTCCGAGTGAAAACCGAAAGAAACATGACGTGCACATGGACGCCACATTTCGTTCCGGTTCAGATTTGAAACAAAACCAAACGACATTCATACACCCCTGACTTCTCTCTGTTCGTCCAACTGTGTGTGAGCACTGCATTCAACATTGTGCCAACTGAACACGCTCGATTTGTGCAAGATCTGGAGATTTCTCGACGGTCCACGGGACTGCACCGAGTTGTCCGGAACATCGATGGAACAGTGGTTTGATAGCTTGGAGTTCTCCGGTTTGGTTCCACTCTCGCCTACCCCATGTTCTTACCAGGACGGTGAACAGACGTCGAATTGGTTTTCTCAAAAACTACGACATTTGCACACACACACACACACGGTCCTACAAAGAGAACTTTGAACCGGGACAAATTTCGTGCAACTTGTCACAGAATTAGGATATTCCAAACTTTATCGCCACGGGTCCATTTCACGTTACGGCATAGCAGTTCTGTGACACGTAAATGTATTACACAGTATTACGACATTGTATCAATTATTGGGGAAAATGTACTGAATCCAGTGGGCACAATGTGTGTGTGTGTGGGTGTGTGTAACGGTGAACGATAGACAAATTCATAATGATATAAAGATAGAACTGGCAATGGAAAGCTAATCTGTTTGCTCCAAATGCTTTAACAAACGCACTTCAATGGTTGTGGTTGCAATAGGGGGATGGTTGACGTGCGGTTAAATTTCTCGTTCATTCTAATGACCACCGAATTTCGAACTCTTTCATCGTAATTTCCATTTGATGCCAGGTCACTATTGATGATTTTACTGTTTCAACGTCCACACCTTAGTTTGTGAGCTCAACTAACGGGTTTTCCTCACTACAGGACTAGGTCGTCATTATCACCTCAAATACCCCAACATTCATTTTAAATCCATCCAGATCGTTTCCTCAGTACCGTGGTTACTAAACACTCGGGGCGGGGAGGGGCGGAGACAGTGTGCTGGGCGCCTGACGATTTCTGTGTTCTTGTGCACATCGATGTGGTCAAAGAGAAGTTTAACACAACGTGCCACTAACACGTGTTTGATTCGTGAGTGCACTCTCATTTATTACACAAATAGAATCCGTATGGAGAGAGAGACAGAGTACAGCGTGATGAAAATAACTTTTCTAGTGATGGGTCTATTTTTGTACGCACACACACGTCAGTGCTGTTTCCGATTTGGCTAGGATTTCTGTTTCGAGGCAACCCGTAGCCCGGTGAAAACTCTGATCCCCCTCCAAGTCATGTCGCAGATCGGGCACATGATACCCATTTGGCATAACCATGGAGCTTTATTATTCGTCAGAAAGCGTTTAAACCTGCTCAACATTATCTTCGGGATGCCTTTAAGCCAAGTGTCTTAACCTCATCTGATGTTCATTGGAAACTGATTTGGGATTATTTGTTTTCCATTTTGTCTTGGGGAACGTCCAGTGAGTTTGTCATCTCCAGTAGCAATACGGAAATGTGGTACAACCGGAACGAAGGTTTGCATACTGTTAGAGAAATAGTTTTGTGAGGGGCATTGAAATAAAACAGAGCGTTGTTTCTCAAACATCCCTCTGTATTTATCCACTTCATCAACACAAGAAAACATTTGTAGGTAGAACTCATTGTGCCACAAACTTGTTCAAATGACTCATTTCAAATTTTATGTTTCTCTATTTGACTTGATCGTATCGGTGTGCGTTTACACCTGATTGAGAGTGCGTCAAATTTAAAGCATTGTTTTTCTGCCTACAAAATCACTTACGTTGTCGAACGACGTACGCCAGATCCAAATGTCCATGATGTCGACTGCGACCAGGATCACAAGNGGGGGGGGGGGGGGGGGGGGAGTGGGGACGAGTGCATTCCATGAGTACACCCACCCTCTTGTAGGGATTCGGGTGGACAACCTATATTTCTCTCGCTGGTGTAGGCGTCTAGCAAAACAAAAACAAATGTTCCAATGTGAAGTAAAATCCCCCGACCGCCTCCGTTTTAGCTGATGACCATCACATCCCGTTCCGATCTGTCACTGGTACGTTGATTCACACGTCAACCTAGTCAATCAATGTATGTCTATTATCTACCTGCTTGTGATTGTCGAAAGATAACAGTTTGGCAAATTTTAGACAGCATGCAGTATGAAATAGTTAGTATTATGTTTTGTTCTTTTTCTTCCGGAGATGATGATGAAGATGATTTCAACTGCTGTGTCTAAAACTGACACAGGGCCCGCATTTTGCATGGA